CACTCTTGTCCAAACAGATGGAATGTAAACCGTCCTACCGACACATCCCACAAAGATCTTTCTAAAACATCATCCACTTCTCTTTCTGACCACTTTCTATCACCTTCATATTCAGAGATACTCATATGGCCCCTAGAAGTCTGACCTACTGGTTATATGGCCCTCTGCAGAAACAACGTGCAAGCCTCTGGATTTGATGATCATTTCTTTAATACAGAAGCCAGGCAGGCATGAAGTGCTACAGGAACCCAGAGGAGGCACTGTAGGAGAGTCGAGGGGAGGTTTAATTGAGATCTTATTTGAATTGGGCTTCGATGTTCAAGTTGGAATTCCCAGGGAAAGTCAGGAGAGAGGGCTGTGCAAAAGAATGGAAAAACAATGCTCTCGGGGTGAGTGGCAGATGATGTGGCCGCAAGAGGTCGGGGTCACTTGTAAAATAATGCCTGTGTGGCAGACTGCACCTGAGATTAGTTACCTTCATTTAGTCTGCATGATGGCGACCTTGTCAAGCTCTCTCTTAAAACGTGGCATGCATCAAGGGTCAAGCACTGGTCTTAGTGAATGGAACGAATAGTATGTGCTAAAAACGACAGAGGTGGCAAGAATGGCTGTATCCAAGAGGTGAACAGACCCGGTGAGGTGCGGTACACATCCAAGGCACACTGCAGGTGGAAAGGTAAGTGAAGTAACCCGGAGTACACTTGGAGTGGGGAGGAGGAAGGTCCCACTGCAGAAGGTAAAGCTGAAGACAGAGAAGTCAGGACCATGAGATCTGAAGTCTCCTCGGCTCTCCTGGAAGCAGGTGAGACACATGTCAAAGGAACTGAGGCCTGGGGGCTGATGGTAAAATATGGGCTAGTTGTCCATCCCTGGGGTAGGGTTTAAGAAGTCTCAGGACAGGTGCCTGGGTCTAGTGATGTTTGGTTTTATCCAAAATGAGGATGATGTTTTTGAGAAGTCTAAATCCCCTTAGAGAATCTAATAATTATTTTCTTTATTTAAACACTCATTCTATTAACTTGGCTTAAGACTAGATTCAGTTTCTTAGCAACTACATGAAACTGCTGGTTTGTAGCTCGTGCAGTTAACAACAACAACAAAACACCTCTAGATCTTTTTCAATGTAAAGAAAGGAGTCTTATGTCTAGCTTCTTATTTGTAGTAAAGCTGATCCTATCCCTTTGCTCCTGACATCTTGCATATGATGTACCTGGTTTTGAGGGAAGAAAGAACTGGGAGCTACGAGTTAAGCACACAAAACCCGGCTGAAGGATTGTGTTTGGGGCTCTACTTGCTATATGGTAGTCTTTGTAAGAATTAATAACATGATATGTACACTCTGAAGCAAAGAATGGGGAAAATATTAAGCACAATAAATGTACGTTGTTTCCAAATCCCCTTATCATCATTGATTTTGTATTTACCTTAAATTGTCCCTGGAACTTGTTAAAGAAACAATATCTGAATGAAACTGAGCTTTCTTTTATAAGCAGGGGTAGTGGGAGGAGGGGCGGTCTGACCAGACTTCTGCCTAGAGCCACACAAGTGCTGACCTTTGCCTTTGCGGGGGACAGACACTCGCTCGATATTCAAGTGTAAGAGCCTGCATTTTCTTTCCCTTTGGAAATTGGTCATTTGTGAATCTCTAATCTTTGACACCTCTTCCAATTGTCAAAGCGCACTGACAGTGGATGACAATTGCATTTGCTTATTTCCAGGATAATGAGATATAATTTATATAATCCAGAAGTTTGAACTCATTTAAAGAGTCTA